GGAGAAGGTCCACGTCTGCGCAGCGCTCAGCCCCTCGGACAGTGGCACCCAGCCCTGAAGCTCTGCAGGCGGGCCAGGCGGGAGGCCAGGCTGGGCTGTGGGACCAAGCGGGGGAGACCCTCAGGCCAGGCCCCGGCTGTGACTGAACCGGCTGAGGCCCCTGAAACCTGCAGCAGCTAGAACCGAGGGGAGGGGCTGGGGCCGCAGGAGAGCATCAGACCCCCCCCAGCCCCGCCAGTGAGGGCTCAGCCAGGCCTCACCCATCCCTGCTGTCGCTGTCCCTGCACCGTGGCGGTGGCAGCCCAGGCCCAGGTGGGTGGAAGGTGAGGAAGGTTAGGGGCAGCAAAGGGTGACCCCAAGGAGCAGAACAGCGAACCTCACCTGGGGAAGACTAGAGTCAGCACCGCCTGTGGGCCTGTCTCAGCTGCCCAGAGGCCCAGCCTTTGATGACAGTGTCAAGATTAGGCTGGGTGGGCGCAGTGGCTCACGCCTGTAATCCCAGCACTCTGCCCAGGCCTAGGCGGGAGGATCCTTTGAGCTCAGGAGTTCAAGACCAGCCTGAGCAAGAGTGAGACCCTGTCTCTACTAAAAAAAAAATAGAAAGAAATTAGCTAGACAACTAAAAATATATATAGAAAAAATTAGCCGGGCATGGTGGCGCATGCCTGTAGTCCCAGCTACTCGGAAGGCTGAGGCAGGAGGATCGCTTGAGCCCAGGAGTTTGAGGTTGCTGTGAGCTAGGCTGACGCCACAGCACTCACTCTAGCCTGGGCAACAAAGCGAGACTCTGTCTCAAAAAAAAAAAAAAAAAAAAAAAGATTAACTACCTTCTCTTACCCCTCTCTAACCCTTCTACAGACAGGGAGCCGGGGGTGGGGCGGGAAGGAGGGGAGAAGGGAGCAGGGCAAGAGAGTGAGCTTTGGAGGGAGGAGAGAAGGAAGGGGAGCTTTGGGGGGAGAAGGAAAGGAGGAGCAGCTTTAGAGGAGGGGAGGCGGAGGGAGAAGTGGAGGAAGAGGAAAGGAGGATGGGGAGCTTTAGAGAGGAAAGAGAACGAGCTTTGGAAGAGAAGTTGGGCAGGGAGCAGGGGAGGGCCGAGGGGAGTAGGAACTGGGGGGCCAGCACTCACCACCACCCCAGGCAGGGCCTGGGAGTGTGGTGAGGAGCGCGCCTAGCGCAGGGAGCACCATGCCAGGTCCTTGGTCGTGTGCAGCCATTCCCCGAGGCGCTGGTAGGTGGTGGGACACTAGCCCAGGATGCCCACCTAGGCAGACAGGTGGGGGACAGTCAGCCCCGCCTCCCCCACCTCATCCCCTCTCTCAGCTCCAGGCCTCACCTCCTCTCAAGGGTCTCAGTGTCATGGGTGCTGGGGTGGCCCTGCGGGAGGCTCAGCACAGTGGCTTTGCGTTGACCGCCCAGTGCGGCTGGCAGGGTGGGGACACAGGCGGGCCACAAGCCCAGCGCGCAGGACGAGGAGGAGTGGGCTGCGGCCCAGGGTGGCGGCACAGAGCGGCGGGCAGGGGTCAGGTGGGCCCTCCGCACCCCAGGCCACCTGCTCTCTGCCAGAGGCCACAGCACCCCTGCCACCCTGCAGGTCAGCCCCCCGGGTACCCCACATCCCCGCAAACAGCCTCGCGCCTCTCCTCAGCTGGGGTCTGGGTGGCCTCCTCTGCTCAGAGCTGCCCCCGGCCTCGTCACCACCAAGATAGCAAGCACACGCGGGTGCCACATGCAAGGGACCGAAAGGCTGCGCTTCCCAAAGCCGCCTGCTCCCAAAGCTCCCGCTCGGTCCGGGCGGAGCAGCAGGTGCTCCGGAAGTGCCACCCCGACAGGACACGTGCTGTGTGTTGGCTGTTCTGAGCTGAAGCCCCCCCAAAGAAACAGCAAGCGCAGGGACAGGCTTTCTGTGACCTGCCCACAGACAGCGCCTCCAAAAGGAACTCGCTGTCCTCAACCGCGTACTGGGAGTGCCGGCAACCTGGGAAGAGTAACTCACGGGGGAGGACGCTGGGAGTGGACACCACCCCCAAACCTTGCCCCAAGCTAGCCTTTCTCTCGACTGTTCCTCAAAGGGCCCGCTCAGCTCCCTAAAACACGTACTGGTCTCCAGCTTGCCCGCCTCCCTCCTCCACTCGCCCCGGGACGACGGTGCATAAGCTCCCGGCTGCCCTGCACCGGGTCTTGCCCCACTCCCGTGCCGTCCCGGGCCTGCCTGGTGCCGGTTTCTGTCTACTCTCCACCACCGAAGCAGGAGGGTAGAGGAAGTCTTTCTGTCCCCTACAGATCCCACCGGGGAGGGACTTACCAGCCCCTCACCCACATTCCCAACGAGGAAACTGAGGCTCAGGGCAGTTTGGTGACTCGCTGAGGGCCACAGCCGGCGTGGGAACCCAGGCAGGCTGGCTCCAGCGACACTGGCCTCGAACCCTGAGCTCAAAGCGACTTGAGACTCTGCTGTTGTTGAGACAAGGAAATGAGGCCCCATCCCCCAGCTACTGTGAGGGTCACAGCAAGTCAGGGCAGGGGCTGGGACCAGAAGCCAGCCCGGCACCCCCCTTGCACCTGGCGGAAAGGTGCAGCGCCCAGTGTCTGCCGGGTGGCGAGGCCGTCCCACACAGGGCCGGAGGCAAAAGACAGAGATGCTCCAAGACGAAAGGGAAACCGCCAAGTCCCCAAACCCCAGCAGCTAGCAAGACAGAACAATGGGGAACATCGTCCCCGTGTATACCCCCCTGGGGGGTCAGCGTCCCCTCCCTCTCTGACTCTAAGAGAAGTGTGGGCGTCTTCTGAAGAAGGTCCCTGGGTCTCAGGCCTCGATGCCCCGCCTCCCCCAGAATAGCAAGTGTCAGTCTGGCCTCCAGGGACCGGCAACCCCGCCCGGTGACAGCATTTCTGATGGAGCTGGGGGACAATAGTCCCCTTGGAGAAGACCCTCCCTGCGCCTTTCTGCCGGTCTGTCTGCCCTCAGCAGCATCCCCCATCCCGTTATCCCCGGACAAACGCTTTATTTTTTAACAAATAAATTTGCAATAAAAAAGAGGACTCCTGGAGAAGGTGGTGTCTCCTCCCCGGCCGCTGGCAGGGAGGCATGGGAAACAAGAATTGCAGGCTTGGCTGGGTCACAAAAGGGGGCTTAGCTTGGGGTGGGAGAGGACGGGGGTCTCCTCCCTCTCGCAGCGTGGGGGAGGGGAGAAGGCCGGCCTCAGTGGGCCCTGCAACCCGGTCAGCCAGAGTCTTCTAGAATGCACTCAGCGTAGCAGTCAGCAGGTCTCCACCCCTCCTCCCTGTCTCCACCCCATGGCTGTCCCTCTAGACAAGGCCACATCTCCTCCGTCCGGGTGGCTGCAGGAGCCTCCTGCTTCCCGTCCACCCGGCAGCCAGTCGCCTTTTAAAAGCATGAATCAGACCTCATCAGTCCCCTGCTCAACGCGCCCCAGTTCCCTGCCCCACGCCCATCCCCGCTACACACTCACACACACACACTCACACTTACATGCACGCACACACAGGCACACACACGCATACGCACACACATGCAGACATTCACACACGCACACACTCGCATGCACGCGCACATACATGCACACACGCACGCACACACACACATTCACACACATGTGCTCACACACACTCACACACACTGAAATCCTGACCAGGCGAGGGGCCTCCGCCTGCCCCTGGCCACATCCGGCTCCTCTCTCGCCCTGCAGCCCACTGGCGGCCCCTCTCCAGCTCAAGGCCTTCGCGCACGCTGTTCCCCCGCCCGAGCACCGTTCCGCCTGCCCGCCGCGTCCCAGGACCCTTCAGGTCTCACACAAATGCCCTCCGCAGGAAGGCCCGCCCTGAGCACCCTGTCCAGACTCGGTCCCCCATCCGCCCGGTCTACCCTAACACCTTATTCTCCTCGTAACCCTCACAAGACCTGTAAGCGGTCTAATTATTTTGGTTCTCTCATTTAACATCACATCCCCTTGTCCCTGGAAAAGCACCTGGTGCACAGCAGAGACCGGAAAGAGTGACTGAACGGGGACAATTAACGTTCATGTGGCACTAACTGCGGGCGGGCACTCTTCCAAGGAATCTACATATTCAACTCATGCCATCCCCAACAATCCCACGAAATAAGTACTACTATTATTCCCATTCTACCGATAAAGACTGAGTCCTGAAGAGACTTGCCCAGGGGCACACAGCTAGGTAGTAGTACAGCCAGGACTCGAACCCAGCACCCGGCACCGGGGTCCACAGCTGTACCCTCTACACCATCACAAGTGAACAAGAGACAGAGCGAGTGAATGAACAAAGGCAGGACCAAGAGGCTGCAGCGGCCAGGGGCAGCCGGCCCTGCTCCCTGGTAGGTCTCGCGACGCCTTGCTTTCTCCCCACACCCAAGCCGTAGAGGACGACCAAGGCGCGAACACGCCCGGCTAGAGGCCCCCACCGCAGGCCACCGAGCACACTCTGCCAGGGGCTCCCCAGAGCTGCCTCCTGGGAAGGGGCCGCGTCCCTCCCTCCCCCCAGCCACTCACCTGACGCCTGCCCCCCTCCTAGCCAGCCCCACTTGTCCTTCCTGCCAATCACTTGTCTGGACCTTTCTGGCACCATCCGTGCCCTCCTGCACCTTAGCCGGGCGTCCGTCTGCAGCCATTTCCACACGATGGCTTTCCAACCACACCGTTCCCACCCTCAAAACCACCCACCGCACCTCAGCTGGCAGTCCCCACAGTTTAATCCCTTGAAAAACAAGTCACTTCCCCCAAAGCCGGTGGGGAGAGTGTGCTTCATACCATTTTGCTTAGACCCTTCGAAACAATAGGGCATGGTAGAGTATTTGGCAAGATTTCTTTTTGTCCCCGAATACTTTGGCTTATCTAACGAAACCCTCTCCGCATTAAAGTAGAATATCAACAGATAAAACCACATTTCAGAGACATTCAACCCAATTGATTTCCCTCCTACTTTTTGATAACTCGCACCCCGGGCACCCCACTAAACATACTTACGCACAATCATCAGACACAAACTCCGCACTCCGCTGGTTTGCTCGGCCCCCACCTCCACGCATGCGCTTTACCTCCCGCTGTGCCACAGACGGCCACGCCCCCAGCTTGATCCCCGTGACCTCCAGAAGTGAGGCGTGTTCCAAGAGCACCCTGCTCGAATCAGGTGTGCACCCCCTTCCGCTTCTCAAGCACCCAAAAAAACATATCTAATTTTTTTTTTTAAAGGTACAGAGAAACAAAGACCATTCAATGATAGCCTCATCATAGATTAGCCAAGGAGGGCAAAATAGGACACGTTGGGAGGTAATAAACCTTTCAAACCAGATCCTACCCACTCTTCCAGGGAGGAGAGATCTGAGACAGACGGAAATCAGTGTCATCTCTGCAGCCAGCAAAGGAAACCGAGTCTCGTTTCGGCTTTCCCAGATGGCAGTGCCGGTCCCTGTTCACTCATTTCTCCAGCCACCGTGACTTGCCCGGGGCCTGCGGTGGGGCGGCGCTGCGTGCAGACACTCGGCCAGCGCAGGAGCCCACGGTCCTGCCCGCGCGGTCCTGCCCAGTGTGTGCCTGTTTTACGCATCCGAAATGTTGCTAGCAATACAGAGAGACTTTTCACCTTATTTCAATTAATTTAAAGGAAAAACGGACAATCTGCTTACTGGAAAACTTTCACGTGTTTGAAACGACTTAGAACAGCATCTGAATCTGCTTTCCCAACTCTAAATTTTAAGAAATCTAAAAACAGACCAAGTATTTGCACTGAAATCTTAGCATCCAAATTGAAATGTGCTCCATGTATAAAACATGTATTGGATTTTGAAGAAGGGGACATGTATTTCATGAATGCTTTATATTTTCTAATGCTATTTTAGATACATTGGGTTAAGTAAAATACGTGACTAAAATCAATTCTACCTGCTTTTGTTTATACTTTTTAAACATGACTACTAGGAAAATGAAGATTGCATTTGGCTCACGCTGTAATTTGGGGAGACAGCACTGCCCGAGACCCTCCTGCAATAAACAGACAAGCGGAAGTTCATTTCGGAGCATCGCTCTGCCTCAGGGAGCAGCTTCGTGTTTCCCCACCCACCTCCTAACGGGGAGGCCAGCTAAACCCCCGCAGGGTTCCTCGCTGGGGATTTGAGATCTGGGCTCTGCAGCTCCCCAAAACCCACTTTGTCTCAGTTTCCGGAGGACGTTGGTGGAGGACGAGAGTGAGAGATGAGGATCCACCTGTCCCAGGAAACGCAAAGCAAAGGGTGGCAGCCGAGAGGCAGGTGAACAGCACCTGGCTACAAAGTGCTGTCCCGGTGGCTCTGGGCTGCCACCTGCTTCAGCCCGGACAGAACTAGGAATGCAGCAGTTTTACTTACTCTCCGAAGTCACTGCGGCCAGCGCCCAGAGCAGGACCAGGGTGCTTGGCCAGGCTGAAGGCACCCATGCCACCAGCCCCACGCTCCAGAGTGGCCCTGAAAGGAACCTTCTTCCCAAAGAGGAACGACTCAGCTTCGAGACCCTCTCTTGGGGGGGGGGGTTCCAGGGCACAGCCCCAGCCAATCAGAAGCCCCCGGTAAAGTTATTATCAGCACCCGGGAGGGAGGTGGATCCTGACCAATGAGGGGGAAAAGCCCTTTTCAGCCCAAGGGCAAAAGAGGAAAAAAAAAAAAGCAGCTGCCTCTGCAAGCCTTCTAAACAGAGATCTCAGGTCAGAAAGCAACACAGTTTGGTTTGATATTTTTTAATTGCAGTATACTATATAGGACATAAAATCGACCATTTTAACCCTTTTGCAGTACAGAGTTCAGTGACGTCATGTGCATTCACGACCTTGTGCAACGGTCACCACTACCTAGTCCTGCGGGTTGACCTTTCAGGGAGGCCAAACTGGAGGCTGACTCAGCAGGCAGTGTAGACCTCCCCAGAGGGCAGGGAGAGTGATCTGACAGGCCGGGTCTGCTCAGTGTCAACTCCCAGGTCCCACCTCCACCTCCACCTGCACATTTGGGTTTTTAGGCGCCAGGCAGCCACGCTCCTGGACCGTGACCTCCGTAAGCCATTCGCAGGCCTTGCGGTCGGACGAGCCGCTCCCCATCTGCACCTACCGCGTTCCCCCGAAAATAAGACAGGGTCTTATATTTATTTTTCCTCAGGAAGACACCCTGGGGCTTATTTTCAGGGCATGTGTTGTTTTCCCCGCAAAGCCTCAGCTTGCAGCACGCACAGGGTGGCCGGGACCTGATGGGGGAGCCCACCTTGTTGGAGGGGCTGCCCGCACTTTTCCGGTCACCTCTGGGACAGTAGCTGTCACGATGGGGCAGGTGAGAAGGGCTGCCCGTCTTCTTTCCCGCTCCACGACGTCACGCATGGGTGGTGCAGACGCGCTGCGCAGCCACGCCCGTCACTAGGGCTGGCTTTCGGGGTGGGGCCGCTACTGCGCAGATGCTTAGAAATCCTGCCAGGCCTTGTTTTACGGGTAGGGCTTATTTTCGGGGAAACACGGTACCTCCCACAGCAAACACGCTTCTTACAAACCACCTCATCGAGATGTAACACATAGCACACGATGCTCCCATTTAAAGCGCACGACAGTTTTCACTATTTTCGGGCCGTTGAGCCCAATCTCAGAGCCTTTTCGTTGCTGCAAAAGGAAACCCAAACCCAGCTCCTCACCGCCCCCCACCCCATCCCGAGCCACCACCGATGCGCTTTCTGAATTTATGAATTTGCCTGTCATTCAGCAAGTGCCCTTTGCGTCTTCCACTCCGCCTGACGTTTAGGGTCACCGTGTGGTGGCGTCACTCAGTGCCTCATTCCCGTGTGGCACAATGACACTGCAGCGGATTGATGGCCGCATTTTGTGCGTCCATTTACCTGTTGACGGACAGTTAGATGGACTTTGAGTAGAACTTTCTTACGGCCAAACTAAGACACGGTTGGCTGGCAGACACGCCGTGTCTTATGGAAACAGTCATTTATGCTTTCAGGCTTGGCCCGTATTTTGAAACCAGTAATTCCACCTCCCCTCCCACCAGCTCAAACATTTTCACGGCAGGACGCAGCGGCCCCGATGCGCAAGGCTGAAGACCGGAGAGGCCCTTCCGCTCACGCCGCCTGGGGGGCTGCGATGAGTCCTCAGGTGGCCACTAAAAAAACCGCATCCCAGGCCGGGCGCGGAGGCTCACGCCTGTAATCCTAGCACTCTGGGAGGCCGAGGCCAGGGAATCACTCAAGGTCAGGAGTTCGAGACCAGCCTGAGCAAGAGCGAGACCCCGTCTCTACTATAAATAGAAAGAAATTAATTGGCCAACTAAAAATACAAAGAAAAAAAAATTAGCCTGGCATGGTGGTGCATGCCTGTAGTCCCAGCTACTCGGGAGGCTGAGGCAGGAGGATCGCCTGAGCCCAGGAGTCTGAGGTTGCCGTGAGCTAGGCTGACGCCATGGCACTCACTCTAGCCTGGGCAACAGAGTGAGACTCTGTCTCAGAAAAATAATAAAAAAAAGCTACATCCCCAGGGCCTGGCCTGCAGGAGCTCACATCTCAGGGAGGAAGGGAGACCTCACCCACGCAGATGACTTTCGACACACAGGAGCGCCTCTCAGAGACGGGAACAGTTACTGTGCCAGGGAATCGCTGGCGGCAGCTTAGGAGGACCAATTTCTTTGGGGCCTCAGAGAATAGATAATAGGCCGGACGTAGATAAGTAGGCGGGACAGTGGCTCAGCCTAAAACCTAGCATCTGGAGCTGAAGGAGGCGATCGCATCGAGGTCAGGAGTTCAAACCAGCTGAAAGCAAAGGAAAGACCCTGTTCTACTATAAGATAGAAACAAATTAATGGCCAAAAATTATAAAAAATTAGCAGGGCATGGGCGCGATGCTGTAGTCCCAGTACTCGGAGGCTGAGGCAGAATTGGCTTGAGGCCCAGAGTTGAGGTGGGACTAGGCTGACACCACGGCACTCACTCTAGCCTGGGGCAACAAAGGAGCTCTACTCAAAAAAAAAAAAAAAAAAAAGAATAGATAATAAATGGTAAAAATGATGTTGTCAGGAAGCTGTATCAGGCTTTGGGCAAAGCCCTCCTTGCATACCACTCAATCAACTCCCCCGTGGGGGGAAAAGCTTGCAAGGTGGAACTAGCCTCATCCCATTGTACAGACAAGGAAGTCGAGACACAGAGAGGTTAAGTCACTTGCACAGAGTCACACAGCTCACAGGATTTTAACCCAATCAGGTTCCAGAGTCCTGCTATTATTTAGGTCATTAAATATGAATGTGAATTTAGAATCAAGTGTGTTTATTATATCTCAAACAAGCAGCTAGTCAATTAATCAAGGATGGGCCTAAATTCGACATGTTTTGCCATCTTAAGGATAGCTTGTTTATGCCAACAGCAAAGAAGCTGAAAGTCAGTGGTGAATAAATTGGGAAAGGTGTTTTTCACAGATTGTTGAGAATTGGATATTTTTCCTTGCAAGAAGTGGTCCCAAGCCTGGAAGGAGTGGTAGTCAGTTGGTGCAAGGTCTGGTGAATATGGTGGATGACAGAGTTTCCAGGTCCAGTACCTGTAGTTTTTTTGAGACAGAGTCTCGCTTTGTTGCCCAGGCTAGAGTGAGTGCCGTGGTGTCAGCCTAGCTCACAGCAACCCTGCTCCTGGGTCAAGCAATCTCCTGCTCAGCCTCCCGAGTAGCTGGGACTACAGGCATGTGCCACCATGCCCAGCTAATTTTTTCTCTATATATTAGTTGGCCAATTAATTTCTTTCTATTTATAGTAGAGATGGGGTCTCGCTCTTGCTCAGGCTGGTTTCTAACTCCTGACCTTGAGCAATCTGCCTGCCTCGGCCTCCCAAAATACTAGGGCTGCAGGCGTGAGCCACAATGCCCGGCCTCAGTACCTGTAGTCTGAGTAGCATTGTTTGTGGGACATGTGGTCGGGTGCTGTCTTGCAAGAGCATTGGCCTGTCTCTATTGACCAATCTCTGCTGCTTAAACACGAGCATCTTCATCATTTCATCCAGTTGGTTGCAGTAGACATCGGCTGTAATTGACTGACCAGGTTTCATGAAGCCGTAGTGGATGATACCAGCGCTGGACCACCAAACACACACCATTAGCTTTTTTCGATGCATAGTCTGTTTTGGACTGTGTTTCAGCACTTCATCTTTATGCAACCATTGTGCCAAACGCTTGCGATTGTCAAAAAGAATCCATTTTTCATCATATGTAACAATAGGGTATAGAAATGGTTCCCTTTTATGTTGTGACAGCAAAGAAAGGCAAGCTTTGAGATAATGCCTCTTGTGATGCTCATATAATTCATGCGGAACCGTCTATCCAGCTTCCTTACCTTGCCCATTTGTTTCAAATGGTCCCATATTGTTGGAATAGTAGCATCAAAGCTTGCTGCTAATTCACGTGTAGGTTGAGATGGATTC